AAAAAAAAAAAAAAGAAAAAATTACTCCAGGACATTTTTCTTTACAGCTCCCTACTGGAAGTATTCCCGCCCCATGCATGTGGTTTTGCAAACAGAGTATTATAATGAGTCATTTCTACCACATCCATGTAAAAGTAACCCCACATCCCCTAGTACAGGTGCAACCTTAAATCCGGGTGTCACGCTTGTGCTCTGGAATGCGACAGTCCTGCTGGAGCTAAAATACTCTCACTTCAACCAACAAAACCCCTCACATTCCACCTACACAACAGTTTTTAGATAAAAAGGGAACAAGTCTGAGAAAACCTGAGTGCAAGCCACCCCAGCATACATTGCACCCCCAAACGCAGAACAAAAGAGAGCCTCTGTCCCAAAAATCTACACACTGTAGATGAACAGAGATGATAAAAAGTAAAAGACAGAAGTAGAAAGATGACAGTCAATGTCAGAAGCATTTTACATCATTTCAATTTATGTACTTGCACTCAAAGACTTAGGAGCTGTAGGTAAAGAGTGATGACAAGCTGCTCCGCAGTAACAATCAGCTAGATCTTTTCCAGTATACAAGAAACGAGGACTAAGAAATAACCTTGATCCATTTGCCTAAGGCGCTAAGAAAAATCCTCCTCTTTCCTGGGGAAAAATGCTTGCATAACATACCTTTACAGGTTCACGGTTAAGACTTTCCAGATGGACTACTACTCCAGAACAACATGCTGTGGACAGAGGATGGACTCAAAACCCATTTTCTCTGGAGAATCACAGCAGCAATTGACAGTAACATGCAATACGCACACAGGTTTCTTCCACACCTCCCATCAGAAAGAATCTGCAGAATAAATCCTGCTCTGAGCTACCGAAATTGCAGTATGGACTGATCCATTCCATTTTATTACTATTAAAATACACTTACAGTTTAAAATGCTTTGTGCCTTCGGAGATGAGATTTTATTCAGTGTGGCCTGATACTTTTCTCTTTAGGATGGAAAGAGCTAAGATGTACTTTGCTCACCCCTTCATAGCTATAAAGACTGGTATTGCAATAAATAAGATGGGAGCACTGAACCATCACCTTCTGCATGACTGAAGGCAGAGATGCTGACTTGGGAGTGAAAGTAGCCCTAAGCTCTGTCAGCAGGCCCGTATATTCCTGTATTGACAAAGGAGTCATTCGTCTTATACTGGGTAGGGTTTGCAGAAAGGTAACAGAGAATATGCATTATTTATTACTTCAGAAATAAGTACATGATTCACTGCTGCCACAACACTTTGCATTCTTCCTGCATGGTCAGAAATAAAAGAACAACTACAACTAAACTTAAAAATTTAAACCCCTGTGCCGAGTTGAAAAATACAGTTTTAGGCACTCTCAATCTCTTTGAAAACTTACATTTTGGGTAGACCATCTGGTTTTGGAATAAATAAATGAAGCAGAATTTTTGTTTTCCAAAGAGAAATTTTCAGAAGGAGAAGAAACAGAAATAAGAAGATGGAAGATAAATTAGTTCTTTATACGGAATTCAAGAGACATCTAGTGGTTAGTAGAACAGAGAGTTTTCTCGGAGAGCCTGGCAAGTCCTTTTCAGAATCCCACCGCCCTTTCTGTCTTGTTTTGTTTCAGTTTGAATGTAATCAAGGGTAATTTTGAGATCACATGTGAATTTCAGTATTCTAAGAGGTTTTATCCACTTTCACTGAACTTACTATTTACCCGTTTATAGAGATTTGTATTTATACTTTGCTCATTATTCTTTGTATCAAGTGACTTTCCAGCACTTTTCTTCATAAAAATTATGTAAATGAAAACCAGTGCAAAACGGACCCACAGAAATTAATAATTCCCCAAATGTCAGGATATTTGAATACATAAAATATACACCCGATTGGCAGTTATAAACTACTGTACTATACATATGACAATTTAAAACATCTCAGAAAATTAAAAGCACGTTGAAAGATTACTTTAGTTTTGTATTTTTGTACTATTCTTTTGCAACAGCGTAATAGTAGAAAAACTAAAAATACTAATATTAATGGATAGAACTCTAAAAGAAAAGATCAGCCAACAGATTCACTATATTGCCAGTGCCTCAATTCAGCATTAGACACCACAGAATGTATTTCTACACTTTAGCAAATGATTCCTATTACCTTTAAAAAGAAAATTATACTGAACATAAGGATCGTCAAGAAGATTTAAACTGAATATTTAACTCTATCCCTGACTTGGCTATATGTCAACTCATATTAAATGTTGAGCTACATTTTTAATGTCTAGTACCAATTTCTATGATTTACTTAAATAGTTTCCCCCACAGACGACTTAAAAGAAACTTCGCAATAGACTAAATATTGGAAGTTTCTGTCTTTATGGATGTAGTTTTAAAATACAGTATTTCTCCAAACGGACATTTTAGCAAGAAAAGCTCGTAATTCTTTTTAATTAAGGGATAACTGCTGCACTATCCAGAAACACTTTAATTGCTGAAACATCAAGTAGAAATTGTACTGTATAATTGTAAGTAGCACTGGGAAAAGCAATATTCCCACCTGTTCAAATACACATTTTAAATATTTTATCTTATGTTTTATTTAATCTTAGTACGGTACCCAGCACTCTGAAAGAACATTTTATAAACAAATCCTGAGGCCAGGAAATGAAGACAGCAAACAATAACGCAGTGGTTCTGCAACTGCTAAACTACTATGAAATCCAGATTTGTATGTGAAATGACATTTAAGTTAAATGCTATGCTGCAGTGATGTAATTAGAAATTTGCTTACAAGGCAATGAGGAGAATCTGTCAGCTGTATAAGGGACAGTGTGCTCCACTTTATCAGCCAAGACCAACATGGTTTTGTATTCAAGCAGACAAAAAACAGATGCCAGCTCTCACCCATCACAAGTGAGTAAGATGAAGTTACTTCTGGTACTATAAAAAAAACATCTGGAAGTACATTTTTCCCATATAAGTACGTTCACATGAAAACACACGCGTGTGTTTCTTACGTAAGGTGTACAGACTTACAAATTTTACTCATAAGGAACTGGATCAGGGGAGATCTACGCAAAAATTCCAGGGGAGAGCTAACAGCTTTTTTTCATTAAAGAGTCCCATATTCTGAGGTTGGTACCTACATAGCTTATTATTTGCAACTACCACAGCTTCTGTTAGTGTTATAACTTCCCACTTAATGATCAAATTAAAAAAAAAAAAAGGCTCTGCTCTTCAGAGAAAGGAAAAAAAAAGCTGAAGTTCAGAGTACTAGTCTACTTGCTATTAAACTTGTATTATATTCTCTAAGTATGAACAAAATCCTCAGAAATGTATAAAAAAAAAAGTTAAGCATTTGCATGTAATAATCCTTCTTCACAGCTACAAACTGCACTTTAAACCAACTACTTCAATGATTAACTCTTACATGAATCCCTAAATTTCCTCACCCTTTTAGAAATTAAGTACCAATATTAGAAAAGCTGTTCTTTCCTCCCAGGGTATAATTCAGGTGTTTTCAGTCTTTACTATCCGTCATGTTTTAAGAGACATTGCTTGGTAAAACTTTTAGCTTGTAATAAAAGTAACAAGGGAATTTGTAAGGATAGTCTACCTCTGCATTAAACCCTTTGGGTAACACGGGACTTCAGCTTGGCAGGTTTTCTAATCTGTTTGTTTCAGCTGTATTGTGTTGTTTCTTGTACTAAGGAAAAAGGTTATTTTACTAAAAACTATAAATAAGAATAAAAACTGAAGTTATTTTTTCAGCACGTATTTCCTAGACTCCAATATTCTAGCACAAACCCAAATTTTACGTGATGGTGCTTAGAAAAAGGAACAAGATGCTTCATTTAATGACTTAGTCTGTGTAACTGCTACCTACCATTGCAGTTCTAGATTTGATGAACCAGTCAAATCTGAACTGAGGAGCATTGCGCACACACTGCCTTAGTTCCTCGTACACATTTTCTTTGTCAAAGCCCATCTTGTGTAACATGCATATCAAAAATCTGTCCTCCTCTTCTGTGTAATTTTTCCCTTTGTTTGTTCCATACTGAATACGCAGCTGATGAAAAGGCGCTTTATACCTTGCGATCTGAATGAAAAACAAAAATAAGGCCTATAAACATAGGATTACATCAAGGATTTATTATATATTAGTGTAGATTATCTATATAATGTATACTATATATATGCTATATAAAAAGACAGAACTCCCATCCCCAACTTCTCCTTTTCTGAAGGAATTTGGAAGAAGTCAGCCGCAGAAAAAGAAAAACCTGCGATGATTACTTTGGCATCGAGGGCTTTCTTGATACTGATCCTTCGCTGAATTCTTGCCTCTCCTCGTTCAATCTGAGCCATAATCCGCTCAATGTCCTGTAGTTCATTACAACGTTCCCAGAAAACAGCTAAAAATGCAAAACATAATTTGTAAAATAAAATCGTTTCCTCTAGTCTTAATACTTTACTCAGTTGAGGCACTCCAGCAAAAAAGGAATGCAGTCTGTGGTTCCATTAATTCTTAAAAGATTTGTTAACACTCTCCCTTTTGCTGTGCTAGCCAAGAAATAAACTTGCACAGACCCTTTATTCAATGTCTTTAAAAGCTAACTGTAAGCAAAGGTTTAGTAACAACCTTAAACAGAGTTAACATTTAACATAATTACTTGCAGCCAAGTGAATCTCTGCAAAAAAATTACTTTTAAGGATAGCTTTTCGTAACAATGATGAAACAGTCTAGAGCTGCTAGTCATATCCATATTTCACTTTTCACTAGCTATCTCTAAGGTCAGAGAATACTGCTCTAAAAACTAGTAATTTGTGCCTTCTCCAGCGACATCTTTTAGCCAACCCAAAATAAATTCAACACTTTGAAGGGAACTCTTGTGGAGCTATTCCTTTTTAAGCTATGGGAAGAACATTGCAAAGCTAAATTTTATAAAGGCATCTAGTAAAATTAAATCCAACAATGAAAGAGGAATAATTCCATACAAATTAAAAAGCATTGTGTAAATACAAAAGACAAAGACACCACGTACTAGCTAAAACAGCATATATACCCACAGCATAAGGAATCATGTTGCCACTACAAGGCAACTTGATGATTCCACAAGACCGTGTTGTCAATGCAAACGAACTATGTCGAGTTCTAAATTTTGACTAAGGAAGCATAAAGGCAACTGAAGGTATATTCATATTCTGCAAATCCAACCTTGTTAACAGAATCAAGTCTTCTGAAAAGAACCACCACGTACTTTAAAAAAAAAAAAAAAAAAAAAATCTTATACTCACCAAATTCTACATATGGTAATCTTACAAGAACATGTAGCAAAAAAATATGGTAATACCATGTGATTAAGAAATAAAGTTCAAAATATCACAAACCTGAATACTCAATGACCTCCTCAGGTGACTTTCCCTCCACCTCACGAGCAATATTGTCTATATCGTCACGACCATATTTCTCATTAGCTTTAATAAACTGGTTAAAATCTCTTTTATTCCAGTTTGTAAAACCCTGTAAGCGGCAAGAGACCAAGAACACATTACTACGTAGAAGGGAAACCTTTTTCAAGATTTTGTCTTATGTATGTATCATTTGCTCCAGTTGGCGATGCCTCTGCAATGGCACATAATTACAGTGGTTAATGGTCTTTCAGGATTTCCATAAACTTGTATTATCCAGGGTTTATTACTGAATCATTAGAAATCTAAACAGTTATTTTTGTGCCTGACTCCACATGCATTAGTAAGAGCATTTTGCTCCTACTTCTTTTTAAACTTTTTATGTGGTATTTCTCCAAAGAAACAAGCTCAATGACAGGTTACTGAAATTTTATTTAAGTGACCCTTCAGCAGATACAAGCAACAAATGTCTTGGGACTATAGGGTGCACCAATGCAAGTATCATGATGACTTCGGACATTTCCAAACCTTGAATCAGAAAAACAGCTGGATGAAAGGATAAGTATGTCAAGAAAATCTCTAGTCCAAAAAGACGCAATCAAATGGAAACTCTATAGCACTGTCAAATCGAAAATTTGTTATGTACCTACAAAATGAATCCAAAACTGAACAGCAGTTAAGTGAGATGCAATGCACAAATCATCCACAAATGAGACATTGCAATGTAAAGAGAGGGAAAGGAGAAAACATCAAGAACAAACAAACAAGAAAATCACATGCCTGAACAACAATTTGCAGTGTACTGACTTTCTTTCATCACAGAAATACATTTACAAGGAACTCTGTCAGTTCTCCAGCTGAACAGACTCGCTCCACAATTCGGTAGCATCTTTACAAGAAGTCTAATATATACAATACAAATACTACTTTTTAAGCATTAACAGCAGTTCTGACATGCACATCAGCACCAGCTTAAATATTTCCTTGGCTATAAAAAGGTGAAAATAACAGTCAAATTGTGACGTTGAAAATTTCTTCTCAAGGTACACTATGCCCAATTCTTTGACAGAAAACTTTCTGAATCAAGGAATTCGGATTTTCTGAATTCAAGGAAATAGCAGGTGACCAAGACGTAAGCTTTTTCAAGGACAGGAAAGGTCCCTCGAACCAAAACCAAGCAGAATCACTACATGTTGTGCAATGTCCTCTTTCTATAACATCACTGTAGCTTTCCTGTACATATTTATCATTATTAGTATTTATATGCCATACTAGTAAAAAAAATTATGATTAAATACTTCAGCTGTTTTTACGTTACCTGTGTTAGAAGCTTTTCTTTCTCTTCAGTTTCCTCAGTATTCAGAGGCATAGACTCATCTATCTTCTTTTGTTCCTCTTTTTGTACCTGAGCTGCATTTGGGAGGTCAGGATTCCTGGGGACCTAAAATCAGAGGTATCAATAAGCAGTAGTGCAGCAGTATTATTAAAGAGACTGTACACTTTTCTGCCAACCTTGGTTTACAATTTACAAGCTCATGTTAGATCTCACAGGACTGATGTAGTCCACACCCACTAAGCACTACCTGCCACAAAACAAATACACACAAACAAAAAAACCACCAAACCCAAACAAGAAAAACCCACCACCCCACATCTCAGCTACTTAGCAAAAAACAAACAGTAAAAATATTTTCAAATAACTAGCAGAATATTTTCATCAGTATCTACAAACTGTTGCAAAATTGAAAATATTATCCTCCAAGATAAGGTGATGTATCAAATACTATCATTTATCTGTTTGTTCTTTCTTGTCTCACAAACTCTTAATGTCAAGTTTATCTTCACCTATAAGTAACGAGACCTATTCACTACTTTAAAAATTTCAGTAAAAACACTGTAGAATACACATAAATGGTAAAATATGTTTTTTCTAACTACTAAATATTACAGCACTGATCTGTACAACAGTTACCAGATGTTTTACCTAGATTCGAATCTTTTAGCTTAAGCCTTTCCTACCAGAACTAGCACTAGATTTTGTCAAATTTATATTATAGTTTTGTTATGCCCTGTACCCATCACCTGTACACACAGACTTAGGGATATTCTGAGAGCAGAGCCTCACCTAGTGTAAGCTGTCTTAGTTCACTGATTTCAGTGGCACTTTTCATTAGCTAAGGATCTGCTCTCTTATATCCAACAGTTCATCATGGTTTGTAACTACGATGAAATGCTAAGTTCTGCCAGGCTTACTATAAAGCTATGCATACTGCCAAAGTAAGGACCAGACAGACAACACCATGTAAACAAGGCCTAGAAACATTTTATCTGTCCCTCTCCACACCGATACCAATTTAATATTTGTGATCTTTAAACTGTGTATTGCAATGCCATATTACACAGCAGCTAACAAGTCAGAAACCAGTACCCAGTAAAGATTTTGTAGATCTTACATGTTTCTGCAGCAAAAGGCAAAGGAAGTTAAGAGCAGTTTTTAACATCTGGCTAAGAAATTTTCTTGTCTTTCGTGGTTTAAGTTAAGACTGATACACAAAGCTTGGTCTCTACCTATTTTACATCTTCTGATATTGTTTATGGCAGTCTTCAGTTTTAATAAGAAACTCTCTTCAGATGGAAAGTTATACTTCCATTTCAAAGCAGAACAAACTTCTTCAAGTTTATCACTTTCATCACCAGTAAACAGTAATCTAACTTTAAGATGACAAGTATTCATGTTCGACCTACCCAATCTGTCAGATTTCATTAACAGGACCAAAACACCTCTCTACACGCATACTGTCAACATCAGCAATTCTCTCATCCTTATTTGTTGGAGCATCAACTGAATAATTTCTTTACCTAAGCTAATTACACTTCCTTTAATTCTGATCTTACTTCTATCCTGCCATCCACATAAAATTCTTTTTGTTTCAAACTAGATTTGAAGACACCTTCTGCTTTTTCTCAAAAATATGTTTTGCTAATACTCATTCTACTTTTTAGAAACACCAATTCCCTATCTGTTGCTTTGTATGACAAGCTTATGTTCTCCAACACAGTTTCAATGTGATTTCTTCCTGCTGCAACCTGCCACGAAACATGGGGCTTTATAAAGTAAGTTACATGTCTGGAAGTAGGGGATCCATTTGATTTACTCAGCCAATACTGGCACAAGTAATCAAAATCAACATCAAAATACAATCCATGTTCACTGTACCTCCAGTAATGTCAGCAGGGAAGAGGAAGAAATTCAGCTAAGGCACAGTACGACAAAAAAGTCTGCCGACTGATTTTCTTTTTGTAGTAGTAATATATTCAGACTTCTCCACACCTTCACACATTTTATGTCCCAGCAAAACGGAAGGAAAACTGATGTCACTTTACTTACCATCACATCAACACAAAGTCAGCTTCAATATTACCTTAAGCTACTTTCTGCACAAGATATACAAAAGATGGAAGGTGATCTTATATCAGCCAAAAACATTATTCTCACCTCAGACCACATATCACACTTTTGTTATTGAGAAATATATGAAGGATTAGAACCATCTTTCTTTTTTCTACTCTATTTTATTGTTAGGAACCCACCACAAAGCTACACTTCTATGAAATTTTTAATGAAAGAAGGAATTAGATTACTTCTTCGGTTCCACAATGGAACAGAAACAGGTGAATAGAGGTTTTAAGCCTTGTTCCTTCACAATGAGAAGCACTTTGCAAAAAGTAAGACCAGAATGATGTGTTTTTTAGTTGCCATCATATTTACTTCATTTAGCTATTGTCAAGGTTCCAATAAAACCGCAAAGAGGAATACAAATACATTTCACTAATCTGAAGAGAAAAAAAACCCATTACCTTATATCCTATAGTCTTACGGTAATACAGAATTTCTTTTTCCAGAAGTTCAAATAGCCGTGGTGGGAAAAACTGGAAATCCTGAATATTTGGTTGTTTTGGAGGTCGTGGAGCCTTCAAAAATATACAGATACATTAATATTATAGAAGTTTGATTTCTGTGCAATAAAACTGCTGTAATTCAGCAGCAGTGGCAACCTATCACTTCGTAAATACATTTGTTTTATCACCAGCAACATGGGAGAGAAGCGCAAAATAACAACATAAAAAACCCTCCACACTTGTCAGCTCCTTACCTTTGGCACTTTCGGTTCACTAACACGTAGGGCTTCTCTGAAATAAGCATCAACTGCGTAATTAGCTTTGCGTTCTCGTTTTGGAGGCTCTATCCATTCCATCATGCTCATCTACATGCAAAATAGAATAAAGAGATCTTAAAGTAACTATACGCTTTACTAAAGTTACAAAAATAATGACTAACATGGCACAGCAAAACAGGAATGTATTTTGCATGACAAATCTAATGGTTGTGCTTAACAATTTGGATACTACAACAAGCTCAAAAAGAAGCTAGAAATTATACCCGATTATAATGCATAAAAGATAATGCATAAGTAAGGGAGTGCAGTGGCATGACAGATCCCTTTACAGTATTCTACTTATTTCAGACACATGAGTAAGGTTATGATTCCATCAACCAAAACACAATGGAAGGACCGAGAACCTAGGCTCTGAATTCTATACTATCTTGTGATACAAATTAATTGCTTTTCCTCTAAATATCACAATTAGTAACCTCTACAGAGGCAACAACACTGGCAAAGAAATCCATTAGCAGCAAATTAATCTTAACTAGATTACTTGAATTCAACTTACTACAGCATATTTCAAGACTACGCTGTATTTAGCTAACTTCTTGTAATGAAATTATCCACATAAAAAAAGAATCTTATGTATATACACACACCCCACACTATTCTCATTAAATATTTGATTTTTCTAAATGTTTCTTCAGAATCGATAAGAAACCTGGGTTAGAAGGGCATTCTGTAGTTAACAATAAGATCTGATTCCAGATAAGATCTCAAGGATATCTTTACCATACATCCTACACAAAACACAGGCGCACAGCAGTAACGTTGTGGGATGCTGCCCAATACCTCTGTTTGAATGATCCTTCTACAGCTAGGTAAATCATTGTACAAACTGTTCACATTAACGCTTGCGATTAAAACTTTCACTGCACAAAAGACTGAAGTCCAAGTTCCACAAAATCACTATTAGGCCTGGTTTTTCCTCTGTCATGTGGCAGTAAAATAATGCTGACTGCAGCAGTATGGTAGGATGCAACATAGTATTTTTGCAATATTATCAGATTTTACCTTGAATAAAAACAGTGGAGCTGAAAGCCAATTTAACCAAAATTCAGAATATTGATGCTTCTGCAGAGCTAAGTGCATTTTTCAGTAGCTTCTTACTTCTCTAGAATAACCTTTATAGCCATTAACGTTTCTAGTAAGGCCTTTATGCTTGCACCTCTAATCTAAATTCTTGAAGACTTTAAGAAAAATTACCTTTTGTTTTTCTCTATAATCTTCACCTTCGAAGTTATATAAGCTCATCTCTGTGTCCATAGTGAAATTTCGTAAGGAGCTCTCCCCCATTTTCTGCAATCGTTCATTCATTTCAGCTGTCTGAAACACAGGAAGATACTTGTAGGCTCACCCAAGTTGTTTTGTCTTTTCTGAAAAAAAGCAGCTTTCATCATTTTTAAAACATTCTTGATGTCTTTTTCTGCTTTAAGCTTCTACTTACTTTTTTCTTGTAAGGAAAAATGCCCATAGTGCTTCTCGATTTTGAACAGTCTGACTCCAAGACTCTCCATTAAACTACATTTTTTGTGCTAGGATGTAGCCCTACAACTGTTACGACTGAACTTCTAAATTTAAATGAAATTTATGCCTGGCTCTTTGGAGTTGAAACGGCAGGTCATTTTTCTACAGAGCTACCTATTTGCTAATAAAGTTCCGTAAAGGTTTTGTGTCCATTAGAATTGTTGGCATAAAATTTACATCTTTCTAAAAGCCCACAAAATAAACAATGCTTAAGATACAGTGCACACAGTCTGAACTTTGAAAATAATTACAACTCACTAATTCTACTCTTTCAAGACTTTCATAAGCTTTGAAATATTTACAAATAGTAAAGTAATAGTTGGTAATAAAAATAGGTTTACATAATCAGACTTAATTTATATTTTGGTCCTACATATTTAATGTTTGACATATTTCAAATTCTGTATGAAACAATCTCTAACCTTCTTTTCACCTCTTTCTAAAATAGTGGTTATATCTTCTTCTGTCAGCTCACTATCTTTGGAAGCAAAAACATGCGTCGCTCCATGCCGGATCATCTGCAGCATTTCATCTTTTGCCAGCTTGTTGGACTGTTGGTCTATGAGCCTTCCTAAAATTAGAAGAAACATGTTGAAAGTTATAATACAGAAGTTCTAGCAGGACAGTGCAAACAGCAGATTTTTTCAGTTCTTTGGCAGAACAAGAATTGAAAAACAAAACAACAATACAGAAAAAATTATGTTTCATTTGAGCTGAAAATAAACAGAAATTGGGAACTTCAAGGAAAAGAAAAAAATAACAAGTTTGGATCAAGCCGTAATGAAGAGTGTTTCATATTCAGATAATCCAAATTTTATGTTTAAAATCTTATTCTTACAAAGTTAGCTGAACTTTTAAGATCAAAATCCTATTTCAAGATGAAAAATGACAAAGTATTCTGTAATTACTATCAAGAAATACTTAAGATCTTTAACACTCACTTCACTGATTTGAACGCAAATCTCTGAGTATTTTTCCCAAAACTCTAATTTCTGTCCCAAAATTTCACTTATCCTATCTCATTTCTTCACAGACCAAAGTTTTGACCAGTATCCTTTCAGTAGCCCCCCCTTTTGGAAATACAACCAACCTCCAAAACTTAGCTTAAGAACCTTAGTTTTTGACCAACTATTCTTCCAAGAGCTTCTAAACACAGGCACACAAAGCAGTTGTAATGTTCAGTAAATTAGCGCCTATATAAATACATCTGTCTGTCATGGAACATTCTTTCTTTTTTTCCTTTTTAACATATCACAAAAATCAAGTAACAACTATTCAGCTGTAGTTTGCTTTCCTCATTTAGAGTCTTAGTGTAAGTCTATGCCCACATTATTTCAGAAAATACAATTTTTTCAAAAATTTCAACTGAACAAGTAAATAGCTTACATGTTATAGTTTCTTCAGTTGATTTAGTGTACTGCTATTACACACAAGGCCTGCTTTCTCTCATACTGTACCTCTGTACAGTTATTTAACCCATACTTTAAGGGACTGAACAATTCTGTTGCAGACAAACATATATAGCAGTTGATACCTTGTTGTATAACTATAGAGTCCAGTCTCAGTTTTATTTCAGCTCTCTCTACAATCCTCTCTTCAACAGTATTATCAGTGATTAGTCGAAACACCCGTACTGGTTTCTTTTGACCAATACGATGCGCACGATCCTAACAAACATAAATTAATGAGTGTTCAGCAACAAAAACTCACAAGCAATAGACAAGTTAGCTTGCTATACAGCAGAAACAGCAGACTGAAACTAGCATATACTTCTTGGTTCCTCACTTATTCAAGAGCATACAACGTAAAACCAGTACAGTAATACTTACTTACATCTGGCTATCACACTTTTCAAGTTACAGTCATTCTACAGTATTGTAGAATACTATTCTGTGATTCTGTGATACAGTAATCAACGCATCTACCTCACTGTAAATGAAGGGAACCGAATGTCTGCCTAGACTGCAGCTGGCAAGTGGAGATACAACAGTGCATACGCACACACCCCTCCACTGCTTTCAAACTAATTCTCACTTGACATTGGTATAGAAACTTTGGCGTCCCTGTCTCGAGCGTATTAATTCCATGGGCAAAGCCCACGCAGCCACAGCTTCAATACTGTAGCTGTCCCAAGCTAGCTACACCAAAGCATCAATACACAGCTCACATAGCATAGGCACAATACACGGCAAATGAGGTTATATGACTAACATACTATACTTTTTTGTAACAAAACTTGTGTTCATTCTCTCTGGAAAACATGAAGAAAAATATTATTTTGTCCTCTTAAATAGAAAAGTTAAACTGGCCTTCAGGCTGTTGGTACCAGGATTTTCTGCCTGCCCCTTAGACATGAGTCCTTGTATCTTTTACTCTCCTGCACAATATTCATTTCTTCCTGAAAAATTCTACTAAAGCTTACAAATCACTCATCTGCTTCCAGTCAGTCTACTATTGGTAGTTAGCACGCATGTCAAAAGGATGAGTTATTCACAGCAAATATTTGATGTGTTTAAGGGCATTAAAAAACAAAAACAAAACAAAAAAAACCACAAACCACAGAAAAAATAATCTACCCTCCTCAATCATGAGAAGGATCATGTGATTTTTTTATTCCACATGAAATAAATTATAGACTTAATTCTTTGATATTGAGCACTCGGAAAGATAAGATTTTAGTATGTTTAACCCAAAGACAAGGGGTTTTTTTTACCCCTGGTGTCACCACCAAACGATTTTACACTTATGCAGAAACAAGGTGGGTTGAAAAAGCGTAAGCTTCCCAAAAGAGCGAAATATAAAGCTGCATGGGTTTAATTCTTTGCTATCAATTTGGAAACAGCCCTCTTATTTGTTTATGGTTGTCTTCTGGAAAGACAGAATTAAGACTAATTCTATGGATAAACAAATTGATCTAGTAGTATTTTGACAGAAGTAATTTCATTCTGTTACAAAAACAATTAAGACAGACATTTACAGAGAAAAATCTACAGTTTACTCCACAATTGTGCTTATGCCCTTTTTATTCAACTCCTTAGTTCTTGTATTAAATATAAAAAGTAAAGAAAAAATAACAAAAATGCAAGTTCTGGAAACACACAAAACAGAACAATGACAGCTTCAACAAACGAATGTGCATTGGGGAGTTAACATACCATGGCCTGCAGATCTACTTGAGGGTTCCAGTCTGAATCATAGAGAATAACCACATCAGCAGTTGCCAAATTAATTCCAAGACCTCCAGCTCTGGTACTCAGCATGAAAATGAATTTACTGCTGTTGGGAGCATTAAATGTGTCTATTGCTTCCTAAAAGAAAAAAAAAAGTATCTGTTAAAGTATCAGAGTTTTCAAACAAGCTTCCAATATGTTGGTGGCTTTTCAAGGAAATTTCTCTGAAGTTTACAGAATTTTCATACCAAAACCAATTTTTCATAGAAGTAAGAAACTGTTGGTTTGCACAGGTGGGAAAACCCATTCTGAGTCCACAAGCTACAACATTTTCCCATGTAGTTGACAAACAAATGAAACCTGCTTTCATGTGGACTTTGGTTAGGAAATGCACATACCCTTAGCAGCCTTTTTAAACTGTACCATTTTTGCTCTACTTTAAACAATGATGGTAGCTACTTATAGGTATATGTGAATAACAACTTAATAACCTAATACGTAAAAAAAAAGGAATTTGTCTATATACAACTTTCTCACCTCTCTTTCTTCATGTGGTGTCTGTCCATCAAGTCGGCAGTACTCATATCCTCGCCACATGCAATAGTCTTCCAAAATATCCAGTAAGCGAGTCATCTGACTGAAAAGCAGAACTCTGGACCCTGACAGAACACAGAAGGTTTTGCCATTGGTTTTATGTTTTCACATGAATCTTATCACAGAACCTACTACAGAACATGAGCAAGAATTCATGTGAAATATTCTGTACTATGTCTAACTCACTCAAATAAATCTTTCTTCTGAAGTTACTTTTCTGGTATTGATTTAACTTTTCCTCAGGACAGATTATTTGATAATTTATACAGAAGAAACAGAACACTTTAAGCCATTGTCATATAAGTAGCAGACAACTGATGTGCACAGACAAACTCCTCCTCTCATCACAGATTTTCTTAAAGACAGCAGAAAGGAGGCTCTGCTCTTCCTTTCCTTCTACTTCTCCATATTATTAGTCTTCCCCATCACTCCTGTAAGACTTCCTTCCCTCCATGTGTTAAGGTCTACAGAAAAATGATTTTCAACAAAAACCTCACTGAAAGTAACAAATGCATTCACTAGAGGAAAGACAAGAATCAAACTATCCAATTTTTGGCAGGCAGTTTTACTTACAGCAAGCACTCGTATAACTACTGTTCATAAATGGTACTCACTTTGCTCTCTGAGTTTTGCTAGCAGTTTATCCAGAACTAACATTTTACCACTGTTAGTGATGAGATGCGTATCAGTGGTGTAAGGAGGGCCCGGCTCAGCACCATCAAATAGGTAAGGATGGTTACAGCATTTCCGCAGCTGCATCAGAATATTCAGCAGACGCATCTTATCCATTTTCCCAGCCGAATTCAGAATATCGATATCTTTCATCAGGATCCTTGTATACCTGATATTTTACAGGCAATTTTGAACAACTCTCCATTTTTATTTGGTATTATAACATAAATGAAACCCTGCAATATCCTAATTACTCATTTCTGGATGTAAGAGTTTGCTTTGTTTACGTCATAATGAGCTACACTATTACAAAACTTGGCAAAAACATGTGACTGATAATAAGGATGTATAAATCCATACCTAAACATGAAAGGCAATTTGTCAGTCAGTGACAATGATCTGTCACTTACTGAGTTATCTTACAGTTCCATTTTCGGAGTACAAAGTGGATTAAAGATCTCAGTTTATTTGACTGAAGCTGCTACACTGACCTAGCTCCTTTTTTCACATCTCTTCCGGGTATGTGGCTCCTCAAGGTTTTGTATTAATTTCAGCTCAGACTTTTACTGGTGCATACATACTTGGTTCAAATGAGGAAACACAGCAGGCATGTGTTCTTCCGAATAAAATTAAGGAAGGAAAAGAAGTTTCTGCTTTCTTCCTCCCCACCCTTTTCATTACCCTTCCTGAGCTCTTTGTAACTTGTGCATCTTTAAAAAAAGCCCCAAAGACAGCTGTAAATAGGCTTCTCCATTTGACTGTCTTAACATGCAACTCCAAGAAAATAAAAAAATCAGTGCTAACACCTGTAGTGTTCTTTACCAGAAAAGAATCCTACTTTGATGTAAATAACTCACCATTCCCTCTGCATTTTGCTGAGCCCAAGATAAATTTTTACTTCCTTCTTTGGTGGCAAACTCTTCTCTACTTCAGCTTTTATGCGACGCAATAAAAATGGCTTCAAAACCTACACAAATTAAGAGTTTTTCCACAGATTAATTTAGAAAATTGATTGCCTCAAACACAAAACTAACAGATTCGATTATCTGATATTTATTCAGAACCAATCAATAGCTATTGCTGTCACGGTGACTTCTTTGGAAAAATTCTGCTAAACTGCAAAATGAAGTTGTCCACTGATAGGCTAAGTTCACACTCACGATCCGAGGGCTGGAGCACCTCTCCTACGAGGACAGGCTGAGAGAGTTGGGCTTGTTCAGCCTGGAGAAGAGAAGGCTGCGGGGAGACCTGATTGCAGCCTTTCAGTACTTAAAGGGAGCCTATAGGAAAGATGGGGACAATCTTTTTAGTAGAGACAGCAGTGACAGGACAAGGGGTAATGGTTTTAAACTAAAACAGGGTAGGTTTAGGCTGGATATAAGGAAGAAATTCTTCACAATGAGGGTGGTGAAACACTGGAACGGGTTGCCCAGAGAGGTAGTGGAGGCCCCATCCCTGGAAACATTCAAGACCAGGCTGGACAGGGCTCTGAGCAACCTGATCTAGTTAGCGGTGTCCCTGCTCGCTGTGGGGGGGTTGGACTAGATGACCTCTAGGGGTCCCTTCCGACCCAAAACTTTCTATGATTCTATAAAGATTGCCATATTTATCCCAGTTGCTATCCTAAGCAAGGCCTAAACCCATAAGCTTGCAAAATCTATTTATTACCTTTTAACATAAGCTGTTTCATTTCCACTAGCAGTGTATACAAAATACGCCAATATGTGAAAGATAAGTAATGTATGTTGTACTTCCTTCTATTTTGTTACTGTATGATAATGTCTTTTATCTCACACACAGTAAAACAACAGTAAAGGCAAGCCTTTATTCAAACTAGCATGCCATGCGTATCAGTATACTATTCACAATAAGAAGTGGTTTCAAAAAGATCTCAAAATTCTTCCTTTTCACATTTTATGTATAGATTTTGTCTGCTTCAAACAGTAACGTTACAAAAAGCAGTATCTATAATAATAAGTTCCAATATTTAATTCATGAAAATTCTGCTGGGCATTTCTGTAACTAAATACCTTCTCATCCATCTTCTCAGCTGAGATGAAGGAGGAAACAATCTGTTTCTTTTTCACACTGTGCCTGTTAACAACGACACGTAATTAAAGCTTTAATTACTTACAGCATGAAGTCTTTCTACAAGTTTCTGATCACCGAGACAATTTTTAGTGTCGAACCACGAGTCAAAATCCTGTGGTGAGAAACAGCACAATTGGTATGAACAAGTTTATGATCTGTAGCTTTAACAGACACACTGACACTCTCTCACTCCAGCTGAGAGTGGCATAAATCTTGAGACAAATAACTTCTACAAAGAAAATCAGTCTGCAATTCTACACCAGCTCCCCAGCACGTTATAACATTCAAGTCAAATGAGTAACTCTGCAGACAAAATACTGTTACTTTGCTTAATTTACAATGGTTTTCCACGCTCATCACTGCAGTATACAAGTTCTTCCCCTTAGTCCTTATGTAATGATAGGGCAAAAAGGTAAAAAATGAAAAAGACACCAGAATCTTTAAGTAAATTATATGGACGACAGAGCAAAAACAACTGAAGCAGGCAATACAAGCAAAGAAAACATTAGCAGTACAAGAGGAGAAAGATTACTCTAATTCTAAATGAAAAAAGGCTTATGCCTATTTGAATGCCTCACATACTTCATTCAGCACTGCTTCCGAAATTTTGTTCCACTTTGCATAATTCTTGAACTATTTAAAGTATTACATTTGCTACTACTGGCCTGAGGCCTTATCTGCACTAACAGAATACACTGTTTTAACTAGGTAGAGCAAAAAAAGTAGTCTACAGTTAGATAAGCCGCAGAGCTTCTACTGAATCTTGGTCTTCCACATCACGTGTCTCTTACTAGGCTAGTCATTCTTCTCTTCTGCAGAAAGCAGCCCGGGAATCAAAACAATGAGAACAAGACTCTACTTCCAAACCTCAACTTACATCTGCAGAATTGAAGACGTCAGGTAAAAGAAAATTGAGTAAGGCCCACAGCTCATGGAGGTTATTCTGTAAAGGAGTTCCTGTAAGCAGCAATCGATTTGTTGTCTTGAACTCACGTACAATCTCTGACAGCTAGAAATTCAACAAATAGTTATCAACGCCCTGTACATTTAAGCACAATAAATTTTCATCAGTTTCTGAAACCTGAAACAATGTCAAACAAATTTAAAGACTGTTAGCTACCTATGAAATTCATATTTGACCATCCAGTAGCTTACAGCTTATATTTGAAAAAAACACCACATGTAACACTTAAAATCTGCCAAAATCAGATGGAATCTTCCATGTCAAACTATCTTCAAAGTATCAAGTAATTTTGAGTTTACCTTAGACTTCTCATTCTTTATTCTGTGGGCTTCATCAATTACCAGGTACCTCCAGTTAAATTTTTTGAAGACCGATTTCTCTTTAATTACCATTTCATATGATGTAACGCAAACGTCCCATTCACCAGGCATCATAACATCACGGATAAAAGCAGCCTAAAGCAGAACAATTCAAATAATAAACATTTATAAATACAAACAATTTATATGGAACTCAGTTAAACCTATTTTCTCATTCCTGAAGATCTCCCTCCTCTGTCCCATCTCTGTTGTGTACAGGATACATCTTTAGGCATATAAATCCTTTCACACGAGTGAAAAATCACCCTATGGAACAGCCACAAATGCAGGTCTCCAAGAACTTATTTAGCAGGGTACACAGATGACCCCAGCGAGCAGGGCTGACAGAACTGTTCAAGTCCACAGTCTTGAAGAGCTACCTAACAAATGAGTGTTCTGTACCACACAGTGCACTGACTTACAAATGCAAACACAAGCTCAGAGGTGCTTTAGCCACCACAGAACAGCGAGATTAAGCAGAAAATTAGGAAATTAAAAGTTATGACAGTACAAACATAAGACTGAAAGCAAAGAGAGTACAAAGTGGAGGTGCACATTTCCCTTCAACACAATCTTAACTTCATTCCATGGAACTAGCAATAAACACACTGCAGTACAAATATTATCAGATGTCGAATCAAAACCATCTGCAACGAGTAGTACAGTCAAATACACGACTACAGCACTGGAAGGAACTGTCCAAATTGGTGGCAGAATCAGCAGTTCATCTCACAGAATCACAGAGCCATTTGGGTTGGAAAAGACTCTTAAGATCATTTAGTCCAACCATTAACCTGACACTGCCAAGTCCACCACTAAATCACATCACTAAGTGCTAACATTTGCAGGTCTTTCGAACACCTCCAGGGATGGTGATTCAAGCACTTCCCTGGGCAGACTGTTCCAGTGCTTGATAACCTTATTAGTTACGAAATTTTTTCCCAATATCCAATCTAAGCCTCCCTTGGCACAACTTGAGGCTGCTTCCTCTTGTCTTATCACTTGGTGCTTGTGAATACAATCTCAATTCCCTGAGCCACTCCTCATACGACTTATTCCCAGATCCTTCACCAGCTTCGCTGCCCTTCCTGGGATGCGCTGCAACACCTCAATGTCTTTCTTATGAGGGGTCCAAAACTGCACACAGTATTCAAGGTGCAGCCTCCCCAGTGCTGAGTACATGGGGACAATCACTGCCTTGGTCCTGCTGGCCACGCTATTCGTGATACAAGCCAGCATGCTGCTGGCGTTCTTGCCCACCTGGGCACACTGCCAGCTCATATCCAGCCGGCTGTCGACCAACATCCCCAAGTCCTTTTCTGCCGGGCAGCTTTCCAGCCACTCTTCTCCAAGCCTGTCGCAGGTCCTGCAGGACCCAGTACTGAGCCTTGTTGAACCTCAGCCCATTGATCCAGCCTTTCTAGATTCCTCTGTAGAGCCTTCCTACCCTCAAGCAGTAAACAGACAGCCATACAATCCACGTGAGGAGACACAGAATTCACAGGAACATCCAGCTCGTTGATCCCCTTCAAGTTAGAAAACCTTCCTATATCTATTTTCAGGCCTTCACTATAAAAGTTCTACAACAGAATCCTAGTTACAAGGCAAGGCACGGACAGAAGACACAAGTAAAGAGGGGGAGAAGTCACCTAAAAAAGGTGAAGAAAGAAGTAACAAAGAGAGAGCAATAAAGGAAAAGGAACAAACACTGTCACAATGCAAACACAGAAGAGATCAAAAAAAGGGGGCAAAAAACAAAGAGGAAAGCAACACAAAAACGGGCCAGACAGCTGTACTTTGGTCCAAGTCTATTATTTCACCTACTTACTTGCATTTTTTCCTCATAGTTACAAGCTTAACATTTTGTATTTTCAACGCTAATATAGTTAAAGATTCCTAAAAGATACCATAATTAAGGAAGCAGCTTAGGGAGAATTCCATACACCCAAACGCTAATTTTTGACAATTAACGTGTACATCTTTGAAATGTAGAGTACTTACTCTGGCATCTTTGTCTCCAATCAGGCAAACAGCACGTAATGATGGAACCCAGCGTTTGAATTCATTCATCCAATTGTGCAAAGTTGACTTTGGAACCAGGACCATGTGTGGCCCAGGAATGTTTCGGTAATGCTTCAAATAGCCTAATAATGCTATTGTTTGCAGAGTCTTACCAAGAC